CCACCAATCAAAAGACTAACTATACTATAAACCTTCACAAATGCAAAAGAGAAAATAAGGTATGGTGGTTAGCAAAAAACTATATGATTTGAAATGTCAATAATTACAACTAGCTAGCTATATTGAAAACCTTTTATCGTAATTCCGTAATCATCGAAACTTAATTCTTGTTAAGGACAGTATTGACAGTGCAGCCATATTACCCTAAAATTACGTGAAACATCTCATGAAATGAAATTACGTAACGCAACTTAACTTGCATGGGATATCTATATATACCCCCACTGAACATTTTCATGCAAACTTAAGCTACACCAAAACCCCATTTCAAAAAAACAAATATTTCTATAAAAGCAATCATATTGAAAATAATGGGCAAGCTCTTGGTGATAACGTTAGTTTGTATTTTCATGGCTTTCCAAAGCTTGGAAGCTCTTGACTATGGAGACGCACTAAACAAGTCCATCTTGTTCTTTGAAGGCCAACGATCTGGTAAACTCCCGGTTAACCAACGGGTTAAATGGCGAGCCAATTCTGCGCTCTCAGACGGCAAAACAGATAACGTAAACCGGCTATATATTCATAAACATTTCTATATGCATATAGTTTTCGAACTTTGAGACTATACTACGAATTTCATTAATGATAAGGCGCTTGTGTTATCTGTTAACCAATTTTTGTTTTCATTTTCTGGTTTGATTTCTTTATTTCAGGTGAATTTGATTGGAGGGTACTATGATGCAGGTGACAACGTTAAATTTGTGTGGCCAATGTCATTTACAACAACGTTATTGAGTTGGGCTGCAATTGAATACTCAAATGAGATTTCCTCCGTTAAACAACTCGGTTATCTCCGGTCTGCTATCAAATGGGGAACCGATTTTATCCTCCGTGCTCATACTTCGCCCACTACATTATATACACAGGTAAAAACGGATTCTAGTTTTCCAATTTAGTAATCAAATGAATTATGAATCTATGACATATCTAAACCAAAATGGAGATAATAATATTTAAGGAAAACTTTAGTTTTGTATACGATTATTTTCTTAAAATTAAATTAATTTGAATTGGACACCTCATTACTCGGATTCGTATATCTTACTATCGAAATTCGTTTTTTTTATTTTTTTGGTCAAATCGAAATTCGGTTTATTTTTCATTAATTCCGTAATGCATGGATACAAAAAAAAGGTGGGAGATGGAAACTCAGATCATAGGTGCTGGGAGAGGCCAGAAGATATGGACACACCTAGAACTCTCCTCAAGATCTCCTCCTCTTCCCCTGGATCCGAAGCCGCTGGAGAAGCTGCAGCCGCTCTTGCCTCGGCCGCACTTGTTTTCAAATCCGTCAACTCTAATTATTCATCCAAGCTACTACACCATGCAAAATCAGTGAGTCTATACACAAATTAATTCCAAAACAAATTAGATTATGTATGCTTAATCATACTTAATGATTTAATTTTTATGCAGTTATTTGAATTTGCTGACAAGTACAGAGGTTCTTACCAAGCATCTGGCCCCTTCTACTGCTCATACTCAGGTTACCAGGTAATTAAACCGAATCAAACCAGTCCACATAGATATTTGTTAGTAATATCCTACATCGGAAAAATCATTGACTGATATATAAGGATACTGACCAATTTATTCATTGATATATCCACTATAGCCATAGTCTTATTTCAATAAATTACTCAAACCAACCTCCAAATAAACTTCGAAAATATTTTCATGTCACCTTTTTGTATTGAAATAACGAGTCATTTTTCAAATATTTTGGGGTAAAAAAGGACGAATTATTATGGGCTGCGGTGTGGCTATACAAAGCAACAGGAGAAAAGAAGTACATAAGTTATGTTATAAGCAATCAAGGTTGGAGCCAAACCGTTAATGAATTCAGCTGGGACAATAAATTCGCCGGAGCTCAGGCTTTACTCGCATCGGTTAGTATATACTATTATAAACCGAATTTGTTAAATTCTATAACCAGATAAAATTAATTAGATTGATCTCATTGAATATTTTCTTGTTTATTTATTTTTCTTAAGGAGTTTCACAATGGGAGAAATGATTTGGGAAAGTTTAAGAACGATGTTGAGTCATTTGTATGTGCATTGATGCCAGGAAGTAGCTCTCAACAAATTAAACCAACTCCTGGTAATTTCCCCCGGTTCACTATATAACCGATAAAA